TGGATGGCTCTGCACAGGAGGAAGGTGAGGGCCGCCAGGACCAGGCAGGGCAGCGATATGCCCAGCCCCACGCAGGTGATGATGCTCAGCACGGGGTCGTCATCCTGGGGCAGAGGGAGGAGCCTTCACAGCCACGTGCCCTGATCTGGGGTAGGAACCCCTCCGCTATCTGTCATTTGGTGCAGCAGATTCAGGAATGGAGGGACCTGGTTCATGTGTTAAGCTGATGGGGGAGGGGCTCCAAGTTTAGAAGGTTGGACTGTAAGGTTTTCTGAATGGAGCAGGTAAGCGGCTAGAAGGGCCCGGATGTGTAGAGTCCTTACTCAAGGAGGAGACCCGGGATTCCTGACTTTGGGGCACAGTAAGGCACGTAAGTGATATGTAAGTGAGTGTGTGTGAAGCCCTTGCTGAGGGTCCCTCTGTCCCTGTCCCACGAGGCCACAGGACAGAACCTGTGCCTCAGTTTCCAGGCATTAACCTCCCATCCCAGACACCACTGGCCTCAGTGCAGCTCTGCCTGTTCCTTACTGGCCACAAGTCCCTGTGAAGTCAGAATTAGATACTTGGTTAAAAATAAAATTAATGATAACAGTAGCTTAAAATTCACATTTCCCCCACTTCTTTCTGAAAACCATCTTAAAGCCATAAGGACATTTAAAAGCCCACCATCAATTCTATTTCAATGTAATTGAGGGAAAGAGGAGAGAAGAGGAAAGAGGGAGGGGAAATATTCAAATGGTAAATAATGAAGGTAAAATTTCAAAGCAGGTGCATCAGGATCAAGTGCACACAGATGTTGTTTGTGTGGATTTTGTTTTTGCAACATATCTGTCAATTTGAAATGGTTTCCCAAGAAAATGTTTGAAAACAAAGTACAAACCCTGCAGGTGACATTTGTGCATGCTACATTTGAGACCCTGGTGCAAAGACAAAATTGGGAAATTAGGAGGCAGGACAGTGGAGGAGCAGAGGGAAAGAATGACACCTGATAAATGAAACAGAGGCAAAACTTTCAAAATAGATGCCTCTGGGTAAAGAGTAATTGGGTGGTGGGTTTTCTTTTTATTTCCTCTTGGTTTTAAGAAGACTTGGAGAAATAGGTGGGAAAGTGTAAATTTTAAGTTACCATCATCATTAACTTTCTTACTTTAATCAAGTATCTGATCTATTTCTTCTATTTTTGTTCTTGAAACATATCTAAAAAATAGAAATTGTTTCCTAAGAAAGCACTTAAAAATAAATGGTCCTCCAAGTGATATTAACATGTGCTGAATTTTGAGAACTTCTGATGTAAAGACAAAATCTAATTTCCGTAATATACAAAAAGCTCTTGGCTGAGATATTTGTCATGCTCATAGTCACAGGGTGTTTACAGTAAATGCCCATAACGTGGGCTCACCTGAGAGTCTGAACCTGGGGAAGCAGAAGTGTCCACTCACCTGGCTAGAGGAGGAGGTAAACAGTCACAGTCCCCGGTCCAGCCATCCTCTCTGACTCCCCTGACCCCCTCTGACCTCCACCTTCACCAGACCTTCCTTTTTTGTAAACCTGAAACCCTGACTATGGTTGACTTACAGACCCTGGTGGTAAGTAGAATTCTAACTTGGTCTTCATATGTCCACCCCCTACTGTTACAAAAACCTTCTTCTAATTATTCAATTCTCTGATAAACTAGGTGTTGCTGTAGAGGGATTTTGCAGGTGGAATTTAGGGCTCCATCTGTTGACTTTTAGATTAGGGAGTTTATTCTCCTGATCTGGTGTAATCAGGCGATTGCTTTAAAGATCTGGACTCTTCCTGGGAAAACAGATTCAAAACTTGAGAGAAATTCTACATAAGGGACATTTTCATGCTTGTTTTCAGATAGGAACACTGATATTTTGTGAGAAGGCCAACCAGGGGTCATAGGAGAGGAAATGTGGGTGGCTCTTAGGAACTGAGTGTGGTCCCCCCTGACAGCTGCTAAGAGAAGGGAACTGGACTCTGCCTGCAACCAGGGAGCTGGAGGAGGGCTGCAAGACCCAGGAGAGACTGCGGCCCTGGCTGATGTGGTCTTGTCAGTGTTTTAGAATCTGTACAAGGAACTCATCCCCCTGTGCTGGGTTACTGACCCACAGAAACCCTGAGGGAACAAATTGGTTTTACTTCAGCAGTGACATTTGCATAAGTATGTTTTGCAGCAATCAATGCTGAAGGCAGCCTCTCACCTGCACGTGGTAGTGGGCCATGAGGACAGCAAAGCTGCTGAGGTGGGTACAGTGGCAGGTGGTGCTGCCACCTCCGGTGCTCACTGTCCTGCAGCCTGCAGTGGTCCAGTGACTCCCATTCTGGCTGTGGTCCCAGAAGACACAGAGCAGCTCATGCCTTGGTGCAGGTGTCACTGGCTGTAGCAACAGGACAGGGGTGTGAGCTGGTCTTCCTGCGCTCAGAGATGCTGAACCAGGAAGGGCTGGCTTTCCTGTGTGGGGTGCACCTGTGGGTAGTTCCCCTGAACCTCAAGGTTAAGAGGAGAACAAGGGTGTGCCTGGGCCTGGGGCTCTTCCCACACCATGGTCCCTCCCCACCGACTCACAGGATGGGAGAAGGTGAAGGTAACTGATGAGCTGAGGTTCTGGGTGTCATTGCTGCTCAAAAAGACTGAGACAACATCTGAGAGCAGGACAGACGAGACTCTCGGCAGCGAGTCCTCGTGTGTCCCATGGGGAGCCACCTGCTTCTCAGGCTCCAGGACCAGGGGAGCCTCGGCCAGCAGCTTGTCCATCCCTGGGGTGGAGACCAAGCCCACCACAGAAGGGCCTGCAGGACGAGGCCATGGGTGAGTCTCAGGGTCTCCTCCAGGGCCTCCTCCTTAGATGGCCTCTCCTCCTTTTGAATTGTTGTATTATAATGATACATAATAGTGGGACTTGCTGCTCCACATTCACACGTGCACACAACAGAATGTGGCCTCATCACTCCCCAGAACCTCCCCTTTGGACGCTCTTCTAGTGACCTCTTCCCACCCACATCACCCTTTAGTCTTTACTTCTGTATTTTGGGCATCTTTCCCACCCTGAGGCCTCTTCCAAACAGGATGGTACTGGTGTAAGTTGGACATCCACCTTCTCCCCATCTCAGATTTTACCTGTGTAACAAGATTCCTGTGCCAGATTCCAGTTCAGCTGCATCTTTGCCTGATTCAGACTCAAGGTGACATTGCAAATTCCTTGCTTCTGCACCTCCAGGGCCAGTTCTATGAGTCATGGGAAGAAGAAGTTTTATGTTAGGAATATATATATATATATATATATATATATATATATATATATATAGTATATGTACATGGGTATATCACATATATCAAGGACCTATGTGTAACTTCCAATTCACTAAAACCACACACATGTATATGTGTATATATAGACGCACATGTGTACACATACATGTATGTATATAATCCTTTGTAATTTCGATATATATATATAGTGGATACATGTGTGTGCATACATTCTTGTATGTGAAATCTGAAGTTATGACGAATTGTAACAGTAGGAACAATTGTACAGCAACATATTAGATAACTGATGATGAAATGGACACATTCTGAGGGACACAGAAACTACCAAAAGTGACTCAAGAAGAAGTGGAAAATTTGAAGAGACCTATAATGGGTAAAGAGATTGAATCAATAGTGAAAAACCTCCTAAATGAACATGTGAGATCAGATTTTCACCAATTCAATATGGCTGAATTTCACTAACCATATAGGGAAGAATGAAAATGAATTCTTTCTAAACTCTTTCAAACAACAGAAGAGGCATCTAGTAATTCCTTGAGGCTAATCTTACTCTGATGTAAAAACAGATAAAGGCATCACAAGAAAACAAGAGGCCCATATCTCTTATAAACATAGACACAACAATGTCTAACAAATATTAGGAATAAATTTAACTAAGAGACTCAGGACTTGTACATAGAGAACTATAGAAGGTTTTGAAATGCATTAAGACTCCAAATGAAGGGAAGGACACCTTGTGTTCACGGATGGGGAAACTATATTGGTAAGATGGTGACATGCCTGAAAGAAATCTACAAAGTCAATGTCATCCCTATCCATGTCCCAACAGTTATTAATATTATAATTTGCTTAAATAGAGAAACTCCCCTTAAAACTAACACAGCATTGCAAGAGATCCAAGTAGTTAAAGCATGGCTGAAAAGAGCAACAAAGGGGGAGGACTCACACTCCTGATTTCAGAACTGACAGAAAATGAGAGGAGCCCAAAGCAGCGTAGTACTGGCATGAAGACAGAGGGAAAGGTGAGCCCAGGAATAAACCTGCACCTCTGCAGTCAATTGGTTTTCAGCCAGGGGACCAAGACTATTCAATGGGCATAAGAACAGTCTCTTCAATGATTGATGAGGATTACTGGATATCCATTGAGAAAGAAGGAAGTGGGACCCCTACCTCACACCACACACACAGATAACTCAAAATAGAACAAGGCCTCAATCTAAGAACTAAAGCCCATAGGAGAAAATATAATGGTATCTTTCTGACCTTGGATTTGGCAATGGATTGTTAGATATGACACTGAATGTACAAGCCATGAAGGAGAAAGTAGATAAAGTAGACGTCTTCAAAACTCAAAACATCTGACATTAAAGTGAAATGATTATCACAGATGTGAAAAGATAATCTATAGAATGGAGAAAGCATTTCCAAGTTGCACATCTCATCTCCTGTCAAAGTAGATGAAAAGCTCTTACAAAAACTCAACAACCAAAGGACCAACCCAATCACAAATGCACAAAGGATCTGAACAGACATTTCTCCAAAAAGATACACAAATGGCCCAGAGGCACATGAAAAGATGCCAACCATCACCCGTCAACAGGGAGATGCAACTCAAACTGGCAAAGAGACATCACTTCTTATGCACTAGAACGGCTGTGATAAAAACCAAATGAATCCAGGTAACGTGTTTAGCCGAGGCCATGGAGAGAGCACTCTTGCACCCCGCTGGTGGTATTATGAAATACTGTGGCCATTCTGCAAACCATCTGGTGGTTCCCCCAAAACTACACATGGAATTACCATGTTACCTATGAAGTCCAGTCTATGGCAGACACACCAAAGCACTGAGAACAGTTATTCAAACAAACACTTACACATCAATATTCTTAGTAGTAAGTCACAATAGCCAAGGGGTGGAACCCACCCAAATGTTCATCAGTGGCTGAGTGGGTCAGCTCAACACCCATAGGATGGAATCATATTCAGCTGTGAAAAAGGATGGAGTGATGCTATGCCATGCTCAACAGGATTATTCTAGGAGAAAGAAGCTAGAGGGACAGGTCATACTTTGTATGATTGCTTTTTACTAAATGGTGGAATAAGCAGCTCCATTAGACAGAAAGCAGGTAAGTGGAAGCCACGGTTGGGGCAGGGGAGGAATGAGGGATGAAAGCTGAGGAGGCACTGTGTTTGATTTTGGAGAAAACTGTCTTAGAAATGGAGGTGATGGCTGCATCAGTTTGTGAATGTTCTTGATTCCACTGAAATGTAGAATTGGTGGATTTAAAATGGAGAACTTATATGTTGGATTTTGTTAAGTGAATTTTACCACAATAAAACAATTAATACCTACATATCAATCAAGATTAATTTAAATTACTCCAAATTAGCTTTTGGGAGCTGTTTCTATTTTGTTATATAAAATTCTTAGGAAAAAAGTTTTTTTTAGTTGTAGATGGACACAATACCTTTGCTTTTATTGATTTGTATGTGGTGCTTAGGATCAAACCCTGTGCCTTTAGGCAAATTCTCTACCATTGAGCTACAACCCAGCCCCTCTAAAATTCCTTATTGTCATTTTTTTAAGAGAGAGAGAGAGAGAGAGAGAGAGAGAGAGAGAGAGAGAGAGAGAGAGAGAGGAGAGAGAATTTTAATTTTTATTTATTTATTTTTTTAGTTTTCAGCAGTCACAACATCTCTGTTTGTATGTGGTGCTGAGGATCGTACCCAGGCCACACACATGCCAGGCAAGCGCGCTACCGCTTGAGCCACATCCCCAGCCCCCCTTATTGTCATTTTACTGCTGATAATGTATACTATATTGTTAAATGTGTACTATTTTTGGTTTTCTGCCTTTTTCACTGTTGTGATTATTTATGTGAGTCATGCTGAGGTACAGTGTGGCCACTCAGCTCTAGTGGGATCAGAAGAGGATGAGGCTAGGAATAGGGGCTGGCACAGACCCAGGGACTTACGTGTGCCTGCAGAATAATTGAAGGTTGCTGTCCCCTCAGGCAGATCACTGCTCAGGTGTCTCAGGGCCCTCTCCAGTTCTGTCAGCAGGTGAGTGGCCACGCAGTGCTTTTGTGAGGAGGTCAGCGTCTCCAGGTCCCCAGGGGTCTCCAGAAGCTCATCCACCTCCTGCATGATCCCCTGGAGGGATGGGGCACAGAGTAGGTGTACTCGGGCCAGAAGGTCCACATGAAGAGCTTGACCACTCAGCCCCAGAGAACAGACCCAGACACTGTCCAGTTGGGGATAGAGAGAGCATGGTTTGGGACTCCCTGGGTGGTCCTTGCTCCTCAGAGGTCAGCCCTGGTTCATGACTGTCAAGGATGGCAAAGACCAGGATGAGAGCAAGAGGACAGACAGTGCCCGTGGGCATCCAACAGTGTGTGTGGCTCCCAGTGTCCTCTTCCACCTGCCCTGGGAGAGTGGCCAGCTCAGAGCAGGACCCCAATGTGCTTGGGCTGTCCCCGTCCCTCCAGACCAAAGCTGCCCTACCTCCTTCTATGGGAGGTCTCCCCCTGCTTCCCCTGGATACTGCCCTTACCTGGATGGTGTCGTTGGCTGCATGTTGCTTGAGATTCTTGTGCAGATTGTTGACTTTGTCAGTGAAGTGGAAGAGTCTCTGGGGAGGTGAGATGAGGAGTCACGGGTGGGTGAGAAACTTCGGGCAAAGGGGTGGACAGGGTGCTGCACCATGAATTCCCACCTCCTTATCGTGGCTGGGGCGGCTCACCTGGCTGTGGACTCCAGGGGGCAGAGACCAGGTGTAGCTGTCCCCATTCCCAGAGTAGCGGTGCCCAGTCCCAGGGTGGCGGGGCCCAGTACCGGGATAGCGGGGCCCAGTCCCAGGGTGGCGGGGCCCAGTACCGGGGGAACTGTGCAGAGACGGGGTGTCACCAGGCATGACTGTCGGGACAGGACAGTGGTTCATTAGGAGAAGTGCACATGTGTGTGGGTGTGTGCAGGAGCATGTGCACATGCAGATCAAAGTCAGGATGGAGAGAGTAGAGCATAGAAATGAATGAGGCCAAGCAGTGGAGAAGGGCGTGGCCGAGAAAAGCATGGGGCCCAAATCAAGTCCTCTCCAGGCCGGGGTGTTGGCTGGGACTGGGTCCTACCCTCGAGTCTCCTACCTACTGAATTTTCCCGCTGGGTCCCTGGGTCCATCGTGGTTGTGGGGAAACTGAATGTTCCAGGTGTGACTGAGTCCCTGTGGTCCCTGGGAGGGCCAAGTCTTATCCATTCAGTCTCTAGCAGGGGAAAGAAGACAGAATGGTGCTGCAATGAGCTCCCTGTGAGCTCCTTATCTTGATCCCTCCCCCTTGCAGTTCATGCAAAACGGATGGGCAACAGGGTGTTCTGAAGGTCCAGAAGTGGCCCTCTGCGGGGAGTTCTGAGTCTTGGAGAGTGAACAGAGATGGGCAGCCAAGTGTTTTGCATGGCCCTCTGATACCTGGAGAAGGTGGGGCAAGGAGCCCAGGGAGTGGGTACCAGGTCTGCCCATCACTGACTCCATGGACTGTGAGGCCAGTGGTCATATCTTCAGGTGCAGTGAAGACCACAGTGTTGAAGGGTGAGGAGGGAACGAGTAGGGCCCAGCTGAGCCCCTCACTGAGCTGAGGCTTCACCTCCAGGGTTCTTTCCCAGTGGGGTCCACACAGGACTGGGGTGTCTTCCACCTCACCCCTGCTCAACCCTGCCTCTGCCCATCCACCTGAATGGTCTCTGCCCTCTCCCCTCACCAGCCCTTGCTTCTTTCTAACCTAGCAACACAGTGTGGGGCACAGAGGGCACAATAACAATAGCCACCACCTGAGGCTGAGGGCTTGTACATAGGAGGATCCTGACCCTTAGGTGCAGTTGTCCAGGCTGCTCACTGCATCAGGGTGCCCAAGCACATGCTAAGCAGGGGCTGAAAACCAACCAATTTTCCAGTATCAGATGGAGCTGTGTCCACCTGGAGAGGAGGAGCTTTTTGAAAATTCATAAAAAAGCTTTTTCCCTTTGGTCAAGGCATGTGCATATGACACAATGTGCACCCACAGGGACCCTGTCTGGTCAGAGTCCCCTTGATCCTCAGTTTAGCCAGGCTCTCTTACAGGCACCTGTAATTTTTATAATCCTCCTGGAAGACACAGGAGGTAGGCACTGTTATGATCACCTTCATGATGCAGATGGGTAGACCAAGTTCAAAGAGAGGTAGTGATTTGACTAATAACATGCAGCTAACAGGTGGTGCAGGCAGGTTTTAGCCCCAGGCAGCCAGTCTCAGAGTTGGCCCCTGACGTTCATGCTACCCTGCTTCTGTGCTGGGTGACAGGTACATGCACACCTGCCTGTCTCAGACCAGGTCACCACTCCTGTAACCAGGGTTCTGCCATCTAGATGTCACAGGAAAGGGTCTGGCAACCTCAACCCTGATGATGGGGAGGTGGGGGAGGGGCCTACCTTGCAGCTGTTCTCCTCTCATTAATAAAGGATTCTTGGCTCCAGAAATGAGCACACAGCCTGGGCTGCACGTGCAGCAATTGTGCCCTGTATGACCTGGCCGTCTGCAGATTTTCCACGGGGCACTCTCATGGCCCTCATTTGGTGATGTCTGCAACATGATGGGTCAGAGGCTCACCTCCCAAAGTTGTCCTTTCTCTCAGGGAAGAGAGCCTGGTCTCAGCCTGACCCTGCTGTGAGATGTGGACAGAACTAAGACCCCAGGTGGACCTCCTGAGGCTGGGCTGCCCTGGAAGTCCCCAGGACCACTATGCTCTCTGGAGCAGAGCCCAAGGACATGTGGGTTCAGATTCTGTGCCATGGTGGGGCCTGGCAAGGGATCTACATCTCGTCTCCTTCCTTGAGTGGCTGAGGGTGGCCCAGCCATTCCCTGGACCCTCCCCTGTGGGAATCTTTGCACCACTGGCATCCTACAGGTGGTCTACGCTCAGGGAGAAGGTGGCAGTGATGGCCACCCTTGATGCTTAAGCAGTGGGGGGTGGGACATCATGGCCCAGGGCTTCCCAGAGTGACAGTCATCATTAACACCTGAGGATAATTCCAGGTGCTCAGAAACAGAGCAAAGCTGAGTGCATCCCATGACTTGACCTCAGAATCTCCTGTGAAGCTGTAGTGACAACACAGTGTGGTTCTGTATGGGGACAGACACACAGCCACAGAGCAGAACAGACAGCCCAGAAAAACCCACGTATTTCCAGCTGATTTTTGATGAAGGTGCCAAGAGCACACAAACTCTTCAGTAATAGGCCGGGACCCTGGACATGCCAACCAGGAGGACATCAGACCCTCCCCTCACACCACATAAAAATCACCTCAGATTAAATAGTGAAGGTCAGATTGGAGCTGCCCAGCTGCTTAGCGGAGAGCACAGGGGAGAGCTGCGTGACGGTGGCCTGTCAGTGATGGTTTGGAGGGGACCCAAGGCACAGGCAGCAAAATACAAATGGACCAAGGGGATCGTAGCCAACTAACAGCTTTTGAAAAGCAAAGGAAACAGTGGACAGAGTGAGGGACAACTCAGGGAACGGGAGGCACACTCACAAGCCACGCATCTTATTAGGTGTCAATATGCAAAGTATCATGAGGAGCTTGATCAAGCAACTCAGCAGTAAGAAACCCGCTCACCCCATCCGCAAATGGGCAAGTGACCTGAACAGACGCTTTTCAAAGGACAACAGGCGAAGGGCCCAGAGGCCCAGGAGAAATCCCGTGCCATCGCCAATCCTCAGGGGACTAGAAATGAACAGTGATAAAATGTCACCTCACACCTGCTGGGTGGCTGTTGGAAAAGCCGGATGGGCACACAGGTGGCCAGCAGGCAGAGCAAAGGACGCTGTGCACACCATGGCTGGGAACGAAAGTGAGCCCCGCTGTGATGGAAGGCAGTGGGGACGGTCCTCAGATATTGAAAATACAACTACCTCTGAGCCGCATCCCCATCTCTGCTTATTTTTTATTTTGAGACAGGGTCTCAGTAAGTTGCTTAGGGTCTTGCTAAGTTGCTGAGGCTGGCCTGAAACTGTGATCCTCCTGCCTCAGCCTCCAGAGCTGCTGGATCCCAGGTGTGCACCACTGGGTCTAGCCAATGTTCTGTATTCTTGAAAATCACTAAGGGATTAGATTTGAGGTGTTCTTACCACATAAATCAGCACAGCACATGAGGCATTGCATATGCTAATCAGCTCCATTTAGCCATCCCAGTGTGCACACATGTTTCAAAACATCATTCCGTACATGATGAATACGTACAATATTTTTTATTTGTCAGTTAAAAAATAAAGGAAAAAAACAGGAAAACACTCGTGGAGAGGGATGACTGAGATGGTTGTGTAACAGGAATGTCCTCAGTGCCCCACAGAACTAGTATACTGGAACATTGTTAAAATGATAAGTTTTATAAATGCAGGTTTTATCACAATTTTAAAACCCTGCCACTGAGCAGCAACAAGAGGAACTAAAGCGAGGTGCTCAATCAGGTGAGGTGGCACAGGCCTGTAATCCCAGTGACTCAGGAGGCTGAGGCAGGAGGATTGGAAGTTCAAGACCAGCCTCAACAACAGGGAGGTCCTAAGAAATTTAGCAAGACCCTGTAGCAAATAAATAATGAAAAGGGCTGGGATGTGGTCAATGGTAAGGCCCCAGGGTTAGATCCCCAGGACCAAAAGACACAAACGAAGGAATGAAAATAAAAAATAAAAAATAAAACAAACCGAGGTGCTCAGGCCCAGGCTGCATCCAATTCTACCTGCCTTTCCTCACAGTGGAACAAATGCACCCTCGATCGTCCCCAGGAATCCCCCAGCTCCTAGTGTGGCACTCAGAACTGTGGGTGGACACTGACAGACCTTTCCAAGGTGCCCAGCTGGTCTCTGGGGAGTCTTGCTGTCACCACCCCTGGAGGAAGTTCCCCCTTATCAGAGATGGCCACAGACAGGAAATGAGGAAGCTTCTGGAAGCAGCTCCCAGCTGAGGCCCTGGGGGTGTTTCCTGGCTTCTTATCTCTCCTGGTCTCTAAACGTGAGGGGAACATGCTCAGGAAGCAGGTCCCCTTTGAGTGCCACAGGGACCCACAGGACAGAGGCCTGAGGTGAATGGCCAACACAGCAGCCTCAGAGAACCCGAGAAAGGAGTGAGTGACAGCTCATGGCAGATGGCCCTGGGTGTCCCAGAAAGGGGCCAAAGATTCCCGGAGCCCAGAGGATTCCTGGGGTCAGGATGAGGCAGGGAGGGCTTCTGGTCTCCTGGACAAATTTTTGCACCTGAGGATGCCCTGCTGGGACCCCTCATCCGGGCTGTGTGGATCAACAGCAGGACGGGCCAGGACAGGGGCAGATGCACCCTAAGGGCCCCTGTCCAGCTCCCACAGGGCGATCCCAGTCCCCTCCCCTGTTCCCAGCTGGTAGCAATGGCTTCAGAGGTGTGCCATAGGTGGGGGGGACGAGGTGGGGTGTGGTCTTGTGGGGACAGCTGGGAATGAGGTGCAGCAGAACCCCCAGGGGACCTTCCACCAACTCCCACATTTACCCACATCCTGGGCTCAGCCCCCCCCCCCCCAGCTTTCTGGGTTCCCCAGTAATGAGCCACTGAGAGCCACCACCTCATGGGATCTCTGGGGCTCCAGGCTCCTGGGGGCAGGTACAAGGAGGGCTCCAAGAGAGGAAGTGGTTTTGCTGATCCCATGCTGCTCACAGGTGGCCAGTCCAGGCTTTGGACCCAGGGAGCTGATCCCTGCCTCTGACCTTGGCCTCCACACCACCCTCCCTCTCTGTGCTGGTGGGACAGTGGCCTGGAGTGGGCCTTGGCCCCTGGGTGCCACAGGATACCTCTGTCCCAGTCCTCTGGCTGACACCCCTGGATCTGGACCCAGGGGACAATGCTGAGGTGGGCGTGGGCTGGAAGCTCCTCATCCCCCCAGACCTAAGGGCAAGTGAGCACAACTCCTGGGGCCCAGGCCCTGTTCAGCTCAGAAGCCATTGCTAACAGCACTTTCTGGGAGCCAGGACCTGCTCAGTGCCTTTGGATCTCATTTTCCTCCTGATGACTCTCCCTCCTCCCCCTTTCTTCCCCTGGTGCTGGGGACTGACCCAGGGACTCACACCTGCTAGACAAGTGCTCTACCACTGAGCTACGCCCCAGTCCAGGACTCCCCTTCTATAGATGGGCAAACAAAGGCACAGAGAGGTGAGGTGACCTGTGTGACGTCACACAGTGAACCAAGAGCCAAGATACCTCTGGTTTTGGTTTTGATTTTCTCAGTGCTGGGGAGGGAGCCCAGGGTACTGCTCATGCCAGGCAAGGGCTCTGCCCAGGAACCGCACCCCAGCCTCTACCTTTGTTTGTAGCTTTAGAGTACAGGGGTTCCTTCCTGTGGGTTATTCTTTTTCTTTCTCTCCCCCTGCCACATTTTCCTCCTTGGGATGGGGCTTCACTCTGTTTCCCAAGCTAGGTTGGACTTCTGGGCTCCAGTGATCCTCCTGCCTCAGCCTCCCTAGTAGCTGAGAACACAGGCACCGGCCATGGTGCCTGGCTTGTTCTTTTAAGTTTTTTTTAGTTGTCAGTGGACTTTATTTATATGCCTTGTGAGAATTGGACCCAGTGCCTCACTCTTGCTATGTAAGGGCTCTGTCACTGAGCCACAACCCAGCCCTGTTTTTTTTTTTAAACAGAAAACAACAATGATGTCATCACATCTCTCATGTCCACAGGGTTTCCTGATAAGCACCCTGGCCATGGACACAGGCAGAACTATCAGGATGGGGCCAGTCAGCTGGTCCCAGAGTGCCCTGATCCTCCCCCATGTCTGGTGCTGGTGATGGGTGCACGCACAGCTGCCCCATCTCACAGTCCAGATGCTGAGGCTATAACTGGGCGCTGTCCCCAGATCAGCTCTGGTGCCCTGAACTCCATGTGGGGTGGGGGTGAGGGGTGGGCCTTACCTAGACAAAAGGTCTCATTCTCTTCAGTGAACTTTTTTAATTCAGAAAGGAAATGAAATCCATGGCTGCACGTGCAGTAGGGTCTCCACATTTCATCCTGGCAGTAAGAAGGAAATCCACAGAACAGCATCGAGGGCTGGAAACATTCATTGATATCTGCAACATAATAGGACCAAGGGTCACCTTTCAAAGGTGTGTGGTCTCTCAGGAAAGAGACTCCTGTCCCCTACTGGCCTCCCAGTATGGGGTCTGACATGGAGTTAGTATCTATTGGAGAGAATCTTGAGCTTCAGTGCTGAGGCTGTGTTTTGCCTGGAGCAAGCCTTTCCTGAAGACCATGCAGTCTGCTCTGTTCATCTCAGTCCTCTGGCTGACACTCCCAGTTTGTACATCAGGGACAATGTCAAGATGGGTGTTGGGCTAGAAGAATAGCATCATCCTTTTCAGATCTAAGGGCAGGCTGAGACCAACTCTTGGAGCCCAGGTCTTCTCTCTGCCAGAGCCATGCAATTCCCTGGTCTCTCTTCCAGCTTACTATTTCCTTTCTCTTTTCTTTCTTTGATGATGGCCTTGAGGTCAAAGGCTCAGCCCTTGATCATTACCCATGACCCCCACTGGCACTGGGCACTGAAGTCTCTGATATGCCCTGGCCCCTCCCCCAACATCTTTACCATCACAGATCTCCATGGGGTGGGTGTAGATCTCTACAGATGAAGAGTTCAAAGTCAGGTTGCAGCTACAAACACGGGTGAGGATACATTCCAAGGAGTTGCTAAGGCACCAGGGAGCACAGGCTGTGGGGTCATAGACTGGTCAGTGGCTGGGAGGGGGCAATGTGGTTCCCAGAGGAGGTCCCAGGAGGTGAGGAGATGCACTGACCCTCCCTGCCCAGGCCTCTCCTCCCTGGGCTGCGGGTGCAGGGCCCCTCCCAGGCTCTGGCTGTGGACACACAGCTCCCCACACACTCACCCTGAGAGCCCTGGGATCCAGCTCTGGAGAGACTCAGCAGGACACACAGCAGCCCTGTGACAC